GGAGATCTGCCTGTAGGGGAAGTTTCTGACACATTCTGATTTTAGTCTAGAAAACAAGACATATAGGAGAGGGCTACATTGTAAAGAATTGCTCAGTCTCCCATCATTAATAACAATCTTAGATCACCAAAAGATATAAGTTAAAATGACTTAACTTCATTCAGCCTTGCACATTTTCAACACTGTTCATGTAAAGGCACTGAGAGCAGAAATAATAGTTCAAAGTACTGGGAAAATGATGCTAAATTAAAGGAAGAAAGATTGTGCCTGCAGAGTTGGGTTCACTCATCTGTAGAGCTAAATCTGGTTGTTAGCTTTCAAATGCTGGTTAAGTATGAACTATATGTTAAAAATAAAGATCACAGAAGCATATAATTTACAAACAACACACACATTCAGACTTAAAAACAGAAAACACCCTAACAAATTTTATGCAAGAGCTTCAAATTTTACACACAACGTGGTTGCTAGGATTTCAACATCTAGACATCAAATGAGACAAGAATCACATCATTCCTCCTCACTGAAAGAGTCTGTATTGTCTTGTAAGTACCACCCCAGCATTTCTATCCTGTTTCATTTCCCGGGAAATTTATCAGAAAGGACAGAGCATAGGGAAGATGTGAACAAAAGCTTACAGCAGGGATTAGTACAGAAAAAGGATGACAAGCTGAAAAATGTGATGCAAGAGCTGTAGTGAAATAAAACCTATTAATACAGCAGCAAGCATGTTGTTTATCATTGTTCTTCAGTGCACAGGACTAAAATCCCACTCTACTGAGCAAATGCCTTGTGCTATTTCCTGACTGCATTTCTGGCTGTCAGTTCTGTTGTTCTCTCTGTAGGAATTGTGGAGGATGCTCTGTATAATTGAGTGGATGTTATCTGCCACAACGCATTCGCAGCACTTTCACACATCCACAGCAGAGCATATTGCTCCCTCCAGAATGACAGCACACAGACTCAGTGCCTGTGTGCAAAGTGATGGAGCAGGAGCACTTTTAGCCTGGCATTTTAGGAATAAGAAGTGTTCAGAGATGGGAACATATCTGATAAAACCAATATATCTGGAAAAAAACCTTGTGGCACAAAGGTCCTTCCACTGACAGCTGGAAAACTGAATGAGATTTTTGGGATGCAGTTTGTACTTTACTAGGAATAAAGGATTAGGTTTTAAAAAGATAATATACTTTGTTTTAATATGTTCATGCTAGCAATTTTGTGCAGTTGCTCACAGACCTGGGCAGAACAGAGTTAATTACTGTTAACTTGTAATACTCTGGAAGATGGGAAAACGTGATTGTTTCTCTTTTCAATAATTGTTCCATGGTGTGAGGCTGGAGAGCCTCCAATTCCACAAACCTGGAAGTACACGTAGGAAACAACCTGCTTATCCAAGGATTGAGCTGAACCTGTGAGAAAAGACATATAGTGCTAAAACAGAGTTGCAGATACCCTAACCTTTGGGAAAGCAGCAATGAAGGTGTTCAACATCAACTCTGTTGTGGACCAAACCATAAATCCAAGAAGTGCACAGCTCCAAAGGCAGCAAGCTCAGAGTTAGGCTCCAGTTGCAGTGGATATTCACAGGCAGTGCTGAGGCCCCTGCCCATTGCCATGTGACATCTGACAGTGCTGTATCAAACTTACCAGGGGCATCATCACTCCTTCCCCAGAGCACTGGGACTTATAATCCCATCAAATCAAACTCACTTCACTGAGTTTGATTTTGCTTCTGCTTTCATCATTCTACATCAAATGGGAATGACAGACTGACAGGCCTTGTGAGCACACACAGCACAGCACAGCCAGAAATCTCCTTTTGAAGTTTTCAGTCTGCTCATTACAGCAGGAAGCAACAGCCCTGATCATGTGCTGCATTTGAGCAACCACGTCCACATCCAGGGATGCTCTGCAAAGCATCTGACATGTTTGCCTTGTTTAGTAACAACGAATTTACACAACAAGAAACCTTCCCTCAGTGTCTTTCATTTGTCTGTAGTCTTGTCTCAGTCTTTCCTTGCAGAAGGCAGAAGAAGCACAGGCAGCAATGCAAAAGGTCCTTCCTGGCCTTATCTTCAGTGTTTTATTATGAAATCAGCATATTAGCTAGCCAGTGATGTCACAGGCTTCAGAAAACATCCACACAACCCAACAACTTCTTCCTCCCATTCTAGCAGCAGCTTGAGAATTCTTCATCAGGGATTAACCAAGCTGGGGTAGAGCAGCTTATGCCAGTACAAGAAAGACAGAATGAAAATTTCACATCACCAGGGGACCACACCTTGCTGTTGCTTCTAGATGTGATTCCTAAGGAGAACAAAGCCAACGCCACTTTAAAAGCACATGAGAAGATGTGCTCATTAAATGAAAAATGCAAAATCACTTGGGTTATCTTTTTCTGAATTAGACTCCCCTTGAAGAAAAAAACATTAATTTAAAAATAACTACAAAGCAAAATAAATACCTTTTGAGTCTTCTTGTTCTTTGGGGAACCATTTTCAAACTTCTGTTAAAAAAACCCAACCAACTAAGAACCACCCAAAATCAACATTCCTTGTCCTATTCTCATCAGCATTCCTTATACAGGCAACCCCACTCCTGAGAAGAATCCCTCTCCTAGCTCTACCTTCCCATGGAAGATGTAGAGATTTTTCTACTTTGAAAAAATAGAAAAGTTAGCTCGAGCCTTCCAAATTTCTTGGTAAAACTCCATTGCTGCCCAGCTCTCCTGATCTAACTGGTATAAACCTAAGTGTGAATCTGGCTCTGTTAGACACTGACTTCTCTCTGCAGCCTTTTCTAGGTGAGCTCTGCATCTGCTGAAGACAATGGAAATACCAATACTGATAACAAATGTCAAATGTGGTAGGAATCCACACAGAATAATTAGGATGACATTAATCGAGGTGCCAGGAAGACAAAGAAGGTGATTAGAATATTAAAAAGATGAAAGATATAAAGAAAGAAAAAGCTTTGCCATGTCCATGGCTCTCTGAAATCTGTATCAGGAATTTACAATGATTAATAGCTCTAAGGACCACAGAACACCTGGAACTCAAGGAAACACCTGCATCCAAACCCTTGCACTTGAGGAATGACTTAGCAAAACTGGTATGGATAAATATTCATTCTTTGAGCTTTCTGAGCTAAAAAAAATTATATACAGCAGGGAAAAAAAGCTCTTCAGATTATTGCAGATTTGATCTATTTAATGATTCTTCTACTCAGGTTTCACTGATCACGTCTGTCAACAAGCCCTGTTCTGTAAAATCAGCACCCAAACAACAGAAGTGTGAACACTGAGACCCTCAGCAAGGAGGATTTGTTATGCCATGGAGCATGAGAGGCACAGGTCAGGAGCAGGCACACCCAACAAAGCACTTCAGAGCTGGTCAGGTCCTGAGAGCTGTGCTTGTGCCACCTGTCAGCACTAATCAAGTCTTACCTCAAACCACCATTCATGCTCCTGGGAGCTGCCCCAGACTGGAGAGGAGCTGGAGGGGGAAAAAAGTGCAAGATATTACTGCACACTATTCAGGGTGTTCTGAAAACTCACAATGAGCACACGCTCTTCTGTTTATGTGTGGTCATAAAAAAAATCCACAGCTTGAGCAAATCCAACGCCACCATCCAAGTTTTAAGAGGATTCTCCAGGAACTGTAAAGCCTTATTATTCTACTAATAAAGTTCAATAAGGCATCTTTGACTAAAGGAGGGTAGGCAAGAGGGTTTAACTTACTATCACCCTCATTGAACTCCTCCAGGAAAAATGCTGTTTATGCATTCAATACCACACAGATGGGTTTTAGGAACACACCAATGAGCCTAAACTCTGAGCACAGCACTGCTGTTGCCATGAGCTCACCCCATCACACTGCAGAAGATGTCAGATCTCCTGCCACCACGTGCTTCCAGCTAAGGAATTCACTGAGTTTGACGCAGCACATGTCAGATTTAGCTCCTGTGTTTGTTCCTAGCCAGGAAAATCTCATACCATGCAATAGTTGCCAGGGTAACTGCTCTGCCAGGGGGAAGATGGAATCTGCCTGTCTGTGTGTGCTCTCTGTAACAGAACTGCTCCTCTGGGTAATTCGGGCACCACATAAACCTCAGTGCATCTCAGTGGTTCTGTATCCTCAGCTAAGGCTGAGAGCTGCTCAGGGAAAGGAACACGGTGCAGATTTAAGAAACTGGACTTTCAGCATTGAACTGTTGCCAGGAAAGGCTGACCTGAAACACAGACTAGACAGAACAAAAGGAATAAAATAGGTATTTATTGAAAGGATTCACCTTGGGCAGTGCAAGAGCCTGGTTGGGGCTACATCTAAGTCAAATACAAAATGGATCCCAGTCATGAGTTTTTACATTTTTATAAGTTTTGGTTCATCTACATATTGGGGTCAATTATCCAGCCACAGCCCCAGGCTATGAAGCCTCAGCCCCTGGCTCACCCCCTTTCCCTCACTATTGTTTCTGCTTTTTGGGTACCAGTTGTCCTTGATTCTCCAGCTAGAAAGGAATTGTTTTGTCTGACTGCCCTGTGAAGAGAACTTACTAACACCTAATAGGAAGTTTCAGAGTTACACACTAAGCAGCAGAGATTCTGAAAAATACAAAAGCTAGAAGCCAAGGCATCAGTATAAGTTCCACCCCTGTGAGCAGCACGTTGCTCCAGCCTGCAGGAAGGAAACAAGGATTTCCTTGGTGGAACAAAGACAGTTGTGTAGGATATTTTGAGTAGCTGCAGAGTAACAAACTCATCCCTACTAGGCAAATTTTGAGTTAAGATGTGCCTGAAACTGCTAAAAAATGCATACACTGTATTTTCTGAAATCAATACAGAAGAAGGTCCAATATTATCCAGGTATCTGAAGCACAGGGTCCTCCACACCCTGACAAGAACAATGTGCAAAGGCACCAGGGAAAGCAGTGAACAGCAGGGATGTAACACAGCTTGGCAACCTCAGGGAATCATCCAGGAATTCTTCCCTTCTTACCTGCAGACTTGTTGCTGTGAGCCTCCCTGCATGTAAAATGCCTCGGTTCTCCAGATGGAAGCAAAGGCAGCTCCACCAGCTGATCTCAACACCTGAGCAAAGAGCTGCAGCAGGAGTTTCCTAGTGTAGAGCAGATGTGTCATAAAAACAGGCACGAGGGAAGATTGCCCAGGTTGAAGTGCATAATACATAAACTGTATTTAAATCAAAATCTTCAAGTTTTAATTGTGCATGTGTACCAGGAAATCAAATCCATAAGTGTGTCCACAATAGCCACTGAAATGAAGCCTTACTTGTGCTCTGAAGTGCACAACAATCTGCTTGCAATGGAGATGTTGCATCTGCTGTTGTAGAAGTACTGGGTTTACAAATTATTATTATGCTTGAAAACTCTGCCTTTGATCAACGGGTTTCTTTCTCTCAACCACTGCTAATTTGGAGCAAGAGAGATTAAAGACATAATTAGCACAGGCTGTTCCATCCAAAGAGTCAGACACGTGGTGTGCAGAGCCAGGCTGAAAATCTTCCCAAGGCTTGAGCATGTTCCTGTGCTTCCATCACTACCACTAATTGTTTAGAATTCTGATTCTACTCTCCTTCCATCACACTGTCATGTAGAAAAACCAATCATCACTAGTTTCCCACAGAATACCTAATATACAAATCACCTTTTATTCTAAGGCCCATGATTCTCATGGATTAGAACAACTGCATCCTAAAAGAGCAAGTGGAATAGTAGAGTCACGAAAGCAGAATTTAAAGCAATCAAATATATGAATATAATGAATGTCAAGGGAAAAAAAAGAAAAAAACAAATCCTAGTGTCCCATTAGAAAAAGTCTAAAATCTATTACATGCACTACATTTTGAAAGATTCACAAGTCCTAGTGGAGGCTACTAAATGATTTCTTGACATCTGTGGAGCTAATCAATGCTTTTAGCCAAATTATCTACTGGTGTCTCTATAAGTGATAATGTGGTGAGCATCATCATCACCTGGGGCTGAATTCAGCTTCACCACAGCCTCCTTGATGCTGTAGAAGAGACCCCCATGACTGAAACACTCCCACTACTACAGCTTAGCACTGCCAGCAGCTTTCCCCTGAGCATGATCGAGGCTGGTGACAATATTTGCATAGACTAGCTACCTTGTCACCTGCTCTCCTCATTCACCCCTTCTTTTCAAGGAGTCACAGCCACTGGAATGGCCTCCATCTACAAACCCTGTGATGTTATAAACCTAAGAAATAGGGATATCTAAAAAAACTTTAAAGCTGATTTGAAAGCGTGAGCCAGATCTTCATTATTTATGTCAGAGCTGCACAACACAGCAGCTATAATCCTAAGGAAAATAATAGTTTAACACCTATCGATTATTAATCCATTCAAGAATAAAAGTCATCTCAACTGACAAGGCAGTGCCAAATCAAGTGTCAGCCAAAAATGCTTGAAATGCTTCAAAAATTTTCCTCAGAGAATAACATAGCACATCTAAAAAGAACAAGTAACACAATGAGATAATCATTTATCCAAACTAATAGACATTAAAAGGGCATGCATTGATCCATGTATTAATCAGATTCACATCCACAGACCAATTTTTCTCTCTCTGAGGTATGAAGAACAAGGCTATGAATCATATTGTGAACACTTAAGGATCACACTTGAATAACCTAATTGTGTACAGCAATGATAGGATGAAAAGAAACTTAATCAAACTCTGAACTGTTGTTAGGTTTCATCCCCTTAAATACAGTTCTGTGGCATGATGCTAATAAATTATTTGGATGGAAAAAAGTGTTGGTTTACCTTATTAATATTCTGAATCTCATCCTCCCATTTTCTTCACGCTTCATCTCTTCATCTGAATAGAAAAACACAATTACAGAGAAAAACATCAGGGTTTAAGTCAGGTTTTGTTTCTTTTTTGTTACAAATCATGTAAATATATACTTTTTATAAATTTTCTGCCTAATAGAGGAGCTGGAGTTTTGCTACATGTGAAAACTGTCAGCCGATCTTTAAATATTTATCTTTTAATTCCCCTGGTAACATGTACTTGGAAATGTTTTCATAAATACATCGATAACTGTCTTGTACAGCTCATTAAGGAAGCTTTTTATCCTTTAGTGTAATAGTTCAGTTTACAGTTGCCTGTGAATCACTTTTATGGCCCTCCATTAAGCAGGCCCTTCAAACGACAATTATTTGTCAGATTTTGTATATACGGAAGCAATCAGCAGAGAAACAATGAAAGCTGAGAAGATGCATAAACACTTGGAGCCAGACCTTGGCCCGTCTCCAGCAGTGATTCCCTGCTCCAGCACCGACTCCACGGGGAATGAGATCAGATGGACCAGATGCACCCACGCAGGGCAGGGAGGCTGTCCACAGGGCAGGGTGGGCATGCTGGCTGTCATTAACAACGGGATTAATTTATTAATTAATGGGACGCCTTGAAATTCCCCCTCAAATCCCTCAGGAGCCTTCCTCTGAGCTCCCAGGACATCATTCTCTCACATGTTGTAGTTTTACAATTCCCCTCATGACCTTGACTGCTGAGGAAGGAATCTCCTCCACTTGTGCTTCTTGCCCAACCCAAAGCCACAAACACCAGCAAACTTCTGCTCCAGAAAAAACTTCCTTACAGGAATGCTGCCCTTCAATCCAATATGCCAAAGTTATTTTTACTTCCTAGAACTATTTCCTAGCAAAATATAGACTTAGACAAATAAGTTTATAAATAGAGAGTTTGAGAGTTATATTTTTTTTTCCAACGCAGTAAGTGTTGCATATCTCCTCCTGGAGTGCTTCCTTCAAGATTTAGTCTCCTGGAAATTTACACCAGCATCCTCTTATTTTCCCCCACACCTATTTCTGTAATTGAGTATGTGACAGATATTGCCATCTGCCAGGGCAGTGTGAATTCAGCTCCAGGGAGCTGCAAAGGATGTGCAACAGGTTTAAAATTCCAGCCCACACCCAGCCGTGATTGTCCACACAAGAACACTGCAAGGGAAGCATAAACCAAGAACCAGTGAAGGATGCACTCCACTGATTCATCCAGTGAAGAGAGATGGCAATAATGTCCAAGGCAAGGTAAAGAGACTAAAATGAAGAAGGAATTACAGCAGATTTCCTTTCAAGTGGATGTGCTCTCTCTGCCAAACACAGGCAGCAACAGAAGCTACTGGGTACCAGTATCACAGGGAGCTGAGGTGTAAGAACGGATTAGATTAACACAATTAATTCTCTGCTTGTATTCTGCCTGGGTATTCTGACCCTCTGCTGCTCAAACTTATTTAATATTTCACTGCCAGACTCCCCTTCTAAAAGGGCTGTGGGTCACAAGAAGTTAACTTATGTTGTCTGCTGCAGCTAGAACTCTGCATTTCTGCATGTGAGCCTCCTGAAACAAAATGCTTTTGTAGCAATACACATTCCATTTTAACAGCTACAGATGTGGCTTCTGCCACAGCTCAGCATCACAAACTACATTCCTTCTAGCATCAAATCAACTCGTGACTAATGTTATAAACACCAAATAATATTCATAAGAATTTTCCACATAGTGCAAAATACTACTGCAGTTTAATTGGTCAGAATGCTTACCTTATTAAATGAGATATGGGACACTGATCAGTTAGCTACAAGGTAAAATAATGTTAAAATTTTTAGCAGTACTGGAGAGAGAGAGAGAACAAGTTTTGTTCAGTCACAACACTGAAGACAAACTGTGATGAATGTGGTGGCTGGTGATAGCTGCATTGTGCCTCCCTTCTGATATTCCTGATAGATTTCACTGCTCCTCTCATGTTCAGGAAGGCAGCAATAATGGATAACAAAAGGTAGAACAGGAGAACAAAGGAAAAAAGCTCATTCAAAAGTGAAAGAAAACTTATCTTTTTATCTTCTAAGGAGTTTTCTTGCTTGATTCAGCCACCTTATGGGGTGTCTAAAAATCGTTAAATGCAAGTTTTTATTATTATTAATTCCTGCTAAATATGTCACATCCAAGAGACCATTAATGTGTTTTTAAACAGTTTGCCATCCAGTGCTGCCACAGTACATATTATTTAAAATACATTTTCTTGTCACACTTGAGCAGGTGGACAAAGAGACTTCCTATTGTGACACATCCCCAACTACTGTAGCAGTAGGTTTTTTTCTTGAATCCTGCAACAATTTTTCTAATTACTTGCTAATGTTCTTTGAGGTACTGCAGAGAAGTGATGCCTGTTACTAACAGCTGCTGTTAACAGAAGATTTTTTCAATAGCATGAACAGGAGCTTTGTATCTTGGGAGATATTAAAAGCTTTCATCTGGGCTCCAAAATTCCAGCAGCAGTTCAAAGCACAAAAACTCTGCGTACTTCACTCAGTACCATAGAAAACAGGGATCTCTATCAAATTTGGAAACAGAGCAATGATAGCTCAGAACGTGATGAAAGCAGAAGCAGATCCTGGAGCACTGCAGCCCCCTGAAGCCTGGTGATCCTGCAGCTCTCATGCAGATGTTAACAGCACATTGGCCAATTCCACAAACCTCCAAAACTCGGTATCCCAGCAAAAAGAATTGCGGGCATGTGCACTTGTATAAGAAAACGGTTTTATGTTGCTTGCTCAGTTGTTCACTGAAGTGAACTTTGTCTTGTGACTCAAGACTCTTCTGCACTTTATTTTTGCTTTGTCCATCCCTGGCTGGACTTTTGCTCTAGGACAGATGTTAGCCTTCGCATGTGACCAAGGAAGGCAGCACAGGGCAAAAAAAATTCTATAACCAGCAAGTAAATTCAAAATGTCAAGCACCTTAGAAAATGGCAGACATAGACCCAAGACTGCAAATGTCTTCAATTACTGCAAGTAAGGAGAATGTGTTTGTTCTGTATGTTGAGATACTACACATAAGTTCAATGACTTACACATATTATATAAAATAATCTAGATTTAACCCAGCAGTTACTGCATATCAGCTAAAAGGGTCTGCTTTTCTCTAGAGTAGCTAAGAGAAAAAAAGCATCTGCTTTGGTTTGTGTGCTATGCAGGATGAATTCCAGAAACTTTATATACCAGTGTTGCTATGAAGTAGGTCACTGCACAAGCCAGCAGGCAGAATCAGAGCACTTATGAGCAGCTTCTACATTATTTTCCACAGCAATCCACATATTGAATGTCACATGTGTAGAGTTGTTTATTGCTTAATTCACTCCCACAGCCTCGGTTCCTGATGTACCAGGTGCCACCATATAAAACAGCCTATCAGTCCCAGCAGGGATTGATCTGCTTTGTTTCACCAAAAGTAGGAGCATTCACTTTTTTTTTTTTTTTAAATACTTTCTCCAGCAGCTGCACAGTATCCGAGAAACATTTTATTCTTTACACTATGTAAAACAATTAACACACTTGCACTGCAGTGAAAACTATAGGTTGCAGTGGTACAAACACTCACCAGCTCCTTGCAGCCTTAAATTCAGTGAGCTGAAATACAGTTCCACTGCACAGAAACCAGCTGGCTGCTGGTATGATCTGGAGAACTGGCAAAAGGCTGTAAAACACTGAAAGTTCAATTGAACCTATAAAGAAAACATATATAGTACCACACAGAAACAAATTCAAGGCCATAGATATAATCAGATAAATGACTCTGGTTTATGTTAATTTGCACAAAAAAAAACAAATAGAAGAAAATAAAGCAGCTGTTAGATACAGCATCCTATATCTCCAAGATTAAATTGACTTTGGGATCTTTTGACAAGGTATTCCACTGCAAACTTAAATATTTTTTTTTATGTGGCCTGGAAAGTATAGGTACAGTGTAGAAAATGAACGTTAGTAATGAGGTTTATTATCATTATTCTAACCCAGAATATTTTTTTACAGATTATGAAACCTTCCTACCTAGTCACTGTTTTCTTTCAGCTGAATTTGTTCTTCTTTATTTACAAAATCTTTAACCAGATGAATCAATCCACAAATTCACCTACTTTATAATGCTGTTGGACATAACCTAATTAAATGTTTGGTAAATATCTTATCCATCCTCCTCCAATACAACATCACTCCTAGAAAACTCTTTGCTACTGCTTTCTGCCATTAATTTTTCATGTGTCAAGCCTCGGGTCTTTTGAGACCAGCTTTTTATCTAGATAATCACTTTGTTAAAGTTTGTCCCCTATTATTGATTTAATCTTTCCTTCCAATTTATCTGGTTCTCCTCACTGTGCTTCTTTCTGTCTCCCTACCTGCAGGAGAGAATGGCAGTCACCTGCCCTGAGCTGAGCTCACACCTGAGCTGTTCCCAAGTTGTGCTGGTTTATTGATTTCACAAATTTCTCAGCAGTTTAGAAGAGTTCTGATGGGCCCTGGTTTGCTCATCTAATTTATAAAGTGTTTTAGACCCTGCTCCAAGAGTGGCTATTTTCCTTCTGAAAGCAGCACTATCTTGTCTTAAAAATGAAGTCTTACCAATAGTGGCTGAATTTTAAATCAGCAAAGTAACAAGTACTGCCCTGCAATGTCCCTCTGCACATTTGGGCAAGGACTGCATTTTAATTTATGGTCATCCATCAGTGTACACAGAGCTGCATTAAAGCATGCAAAATGAAACCTTGGTAATGAGACTTCTCTTCCTATCCTGACATTTAAAAAGTTCTTGTAGAGGCAGAAAGAGAAGCCCAGCAGTTTTTGTGAAAGCACTGCTAACAGGATCTATTGCCCTGCCTTCACAGCCTGTGTGATGGTCTGTTCACCATTTCTCAGAAAAGGTTGGATGTCTTCCCACTACACTCAACTTCCACTTGCCTTACATATTCCAATCAGGGAGTTTCCCATGGAAAAGACCTTCCTGGTATTTTCCCAGCTGGA